GTACTATTCAATAAAAGTTTTAAAGCTTCTGCAAGACAGAGAAATCCTTCTGACATAAATCTTTATAGGCCAATCTCTTCAGCCGAAGAGAATTAGACGCATCAGTTCAGATCGAAGCAGTCTCAAATAAGATGTGGATATAAGTCAACCTCTACGCGTGGTAAGTTACTGGTTGCTACACAAGGGCGGGCATTCATTAACTTTAATGGGAACAACAGCAGAAAATTAATTTTATAATAATTTCAGAGGTCATGCGACGCATTTCGAATAACCGGTTTACAATCATTTTATGTTTATAGCTGTAAGGACCGTTAAAATTTCTGATAAGTGTATGGAGACGGTAATACATATATACTAATACCAATACTAATTCCATATCCCAGGGTCTAGTAAGCAAAGCCACAAACACCTTACTCAGTTCATAAGTTCCACCTGCGCCTAACCTCCTACACTGCAAGCAATACTCACTAGCCTTTTTGTACCTGATTCCCTGATTAAACTGCAGCGACATTGTCTTCATCAGCAGCATCATCGTTGATATCAATGTAACAAACCCGATAAGAAGCAGGGCACGAAGGCGTTCTAACAATCAGGTAACGGCAACGCGGGATTACACCGCAAATGGGTTGAGCAGAGCTTTTACTGTTTCATATGCCTTTGCAATTTGTCAACCGTAGTAGTAACTACATCTTCTTGGTTTCAGGTTAATTTCGCTTCCATCTCTACAAAAACAATAGCAAAGACAAAGACACATTTGTAATTTAAGACCACAGAGAAAGAGTTTTAAGTGAGTATGTGTTCCGTTTGGTGTTTATTGATATGCCCGCGTAACATGTTGCATGGGGAAAACAGTTTCATTCAGATATCTCAACTAAAGGCAAATCCTCGCTAGCCTTTCAGCTTACAGTAGACGTGGTTTATAACCAGTATAACCAGCATTAACTCATGGACTGTTTGTGGCGTTTGTATCAGCTTTATAATTATGAAATAAATTGAAAACGATATAATAAAGTTTCTCATCGCTCGCTAGCTTTACTAGAAATCCATGATAAATTCCTCCATAACTTGAAATCTATGTTAGGTAATTCCTCGTGGGCACACCGGTTTATGAGCGAACAGTTCTCGGGTTTCTCGGCAGGTTAATACGCTCTTAATAATAATTACCAAATGAAATTTTTATAAATGAAATAAATGAGGAGAAGAATAAAAAAGAGACAGAATTTCTTTGCTACTTGCAACTTTAAGGTTATTTTAGTACAAGGTAGAAATGTAGATTAACCATTGGCATGCTTAAATTCATATGAAAATAATTTATTCTAAGGATCAAAATAGCGATTAAAATAGGCATATTAAAGAGTGTTGTTTCATAGTCGTCCTTTTTAAGTCGGTGTCAGATAATTGTAAATGCTGTAAAATTATTTACTGTTCAATTTTGTTAGAACTCGGCCCCACCTTATTTCGTATTTTTGTCCAACACATGTAATTCCGTGCATGCTTTCTGTCATAGATCCTGAGTGTGTTGCAACTTGCACTGTCGCACAACGCTGCGGCTTTATTGAGTTTGTTCCGTACAATTTCCTGTTTGTTCGTGCGGCTTCTACAGCATTTGCTAAATTAGAGTTGAAGTTTCAAATGTAAGGAATAAATGTATGACTAGGCCTGCAGCTTGAACGGGAATTGCAAGTAAGATTTGTAAAAAATACCCTTGAACCCACTGCGGCTTGTAGGATGCGTCTCCAACAAATCTGTGTGATGAGACTTTACCTTATATCAATTTGCTGCCACCAACCCCTGTCACACACCGACGCTGCTAACAAAGACTCATTCGAGCATTTTTCGAATCAACAATCCAACAAACAAGTAAGCAAAGCAACGCGGTGGCAGAGCAAAGACAAACCCTTGCCAATTCAGGCAACTGTTTGCTCTGGCTTTTAAAAGGCCTTTCTGGAGCATAAGCGGCGACTGCAGCGCCTACATAGCTGTTAAGGTTATAAAGAGCTCTGCGAAAGTGTGCTGCTGGTAAGGTAGATTTTCTAAAGCACCAAGACAAACTGCCTGAGACGTTTGTGCAGCGCTGCTGCTAATACTTGTAACCCAAGCGACACTAAAGCAAATCATATAAAAGGGTTTTAAGTAAACCATTGAAAGCAGCGAAGGAAGTAAAAAAATCTGTAAATAGAAAAGAATATTTGTGAAAGAAATAAAGAAAGATAATATCTAGGTAGCTTGGGCTTGATTGCTGCATGGTTTCTAAGCTTTTAGCCGCAGCATTCCTGGGTGGACTGTAACAGCTGTCCGGCTTGAATTGCTTCTTCGGTTATCTACTGTTAGCATCAGCAATCATCGTATTTAACGTTAATTTCTCTGACTGACAAATGCAATCTTTGAATGCTAAGAATTTTATCTGTAATTTGCCATCTCATAACTTTAAATGCACACAATTAGCAATGTGACAAATTAATATGTCAGTCGGCGTTTCATATTTATTTAATCCCCACTTCGCTTTACTTATTCTGTTGTGATATTCTTTCAGATGGTTCCAATTACTTTGACACTCAAGGACCTAGTTTCTCGCATGAGCCACCATCGCGCATCGAATTCACCAACAATGCCGGCAGCATCGCCGATCCATTTCGCCGAGCGAGATTTTCGAAAGAATCTATAAGATAGAATCTCTATTCAAGTCCCAAAATAAAGTTAGTATCTTAATAAACTAACTATGTATTAAATTTTCTAAAAATAGTTAGTATCTGATCAGCATTTCCCTTAGATTTCATATACCTAATGTAATGATTTCCGAACTTTCAGTTGACTTTTTTTATTTACCATAAAAGATTCAAACTTTTTTCAGTGTTAATTTTGACCTCCGCGAGCACGTCAAAAGCCAAGACAGACACCAAGATTTTCCAAATTAATGTTACTAAATCTCAGTTTCTCCTTGGCATTATTCCAACTTTGGCGGTCTGAAATATTATCGCTTATTTTAGTCTTGAGGTATTTAACTATAGCAAATATTCTTCTTATGATTTTATTATGACATTGCCCTAACCCTTCTTCGTTCTTGGTATAAATTTGTGCATTATCAACAACGCCAACTAAAGTACAGTTTACGAGGTGGAATGATCGGACAGAGTAGATAAAAAGCTAAAAGGTTCGTGTTAACATAGATTAATGGATTTGAGAGGGCAAATGGGAAAATTGTTATACAAACAAAGAGAATTTGTTGTTTCACTAAAAATTTCAAGTGATTAGGTTACATTTATTCTATTTACTAATCTAGACTGTTCTCACTGTCATTGGAGATTTATAAAACAGCTGTTTTTAACTAGCCGATCGAAGCTGTGGCTTATTTTCGCGCTACAACTCTATTATTTCGGCTTCGTCAGCCTTCCTCCACAGTACTCTCCTTTTTTTGATACTATTTTCTGCCATTTTTACATATTTACTTTAAATTATTTTAATTTTTTACTCCTTATTTATTTTGTTAATTTAATTATTTTTTGAGCTTTGAGTGTTTGTAGTGTCTGAATCAGATAATGTGATAAATTTCCCTACCGACAAACAGATGTCGCTAAATCGGAGCCGCACAGGGAGATTTCGAGTAGATGAGCTTCAAATCTCCTCGGTGACGAGATTAACAAGTGTCATTTTTGTATGGTGAGGTTTTGATAAATCTAGTAGATTAGTGAAGTAATCCAAACGGCCTAAATATTGTGATTATGTGTCGGTGGGAACATGGTATAAAGAGCATCGGGGGTATCACCGTAATATCCAGATGTAAGTTAACAAGTTTTAATCCAACCTCCCGACTTTACTGCTGATGATTGGACAGCGAATTATAATTCTTCAGAAGGAAGTTGACGAAGACCGCAAGATTTTATCGGCACATTTATGAAAAGAAAGTTGAAGCAGGTGTTGTTTTATTAACTGTAGCTGATGTTGTGCGGTTGTTTCTCACAACATCACGTTCAATGCATTATTATTCTCACAGGTGTTATGTAGACGGGAGAACTTTAGTTCGCATTGGATTGTGAGCTTAAGTTAACTTGTAAACGCAGTTTGGAATCCGCTTGATCTGAAAGTTATAATAATTCGATTTTTTTCACCCAAAATATATACTGATTATTGAGTTGCTTTGACTCATACGATTTTTAGCGATCTCAAGTTAATTGACAGGCAAGCATCTAAATAATAAAGTAATTTTAAAACAAAAGGAACTACACTGATATTTATTTAACCAAATTTACAATCTCTGGTATACAATTTCGGTTTTCGTTAATTGAATTTATAAACAAAACTTTTACAACGTGTACGTGTCCGCTGGCTAGCGAAAGTACCGACACTAAACTGGAAACATAAGTCGAAAACCGAACAATGCATATTAGAGTAACAAAAAGCGAAACAACTACCACCAATATGGAAAATCAAATGCAAAATAGCAGCAACAAAATCTTAATAAAAGCAACAATCACTTACGGCGGACCAGAAGGAAGCGAACGAACAAATTCAATCAATATTCACTTGAATCAAACTTCCGCCATTGTCCGCTGCCCCGAATTATTCAGACTAACGATTAATGGACGGAATCGAGCGAATGCCGTTAGATATACATAACAGTGAAACAGACGCTCGCATGAGGCAAGCTGACAAATACTGCGAAAAAGGGTGTTGTTGGTCAGGAGGACTTACGGGCGCTCAAACAATGTAGAAACTTCGAATTTTATTTCCCACAACAATTACACTATGCAGCAACGAATAACGAGAGAAGCCAATACTCCTCAGCACTCATCAGTGGTGGGCCTTGGGTATCGCTGGCGGTGCGGGAGTCCTTGAAAATATATGAGCGCATGTTTTTGTGTATATATTTTCAGCTAGCAAACCTTTATTCTATTTTTCATATTTTTTTAATATCCATATAATATACTTTTTTTCCAATATATTTATTATATTTTTACATATCTCATATTACTACCTGCTAGTTTACTTGCATTTTCTTACAGGTCCGCCATACGTATACTCGCTAATGGCTCACTTTATATGCCCCCTTCGAGGCGAGAGAGTTCCGTCAAGACGTCCATTGATCGGTGTACTATTCTGTGGCTAGCAATGCAGCGGGTACAATCGTTTCGGGTGTTGCTGTGGTCAAAGCAGGTAGGTATGGCTGAAAGTTGGAATTAGAATGTAAGAATTGCAATTGTTCACGTTGATTAAGTACGCAAAGCAATTCGCAGACATTTATCAACCCAATGCAATACAAGTACCGTACATTAATTTCTACGAGATTGAGTTTCGACCATTTTTATGAAATTTTGCACAATGCAATGTGATGCGTAAAAACTCACAATTATTTTTCGATGAAACCGCTCCTGTACCAAATTCCAGTTATTTGTATGTATGAGGTGTGTTCGAAGGAAAAGGTGAATTTTAAATTTTTTTGAAAAGTACTTATTTATTCATCAATATCTAATTTGTCCCCTTCAAAGTAATCCCGCTCGGATATAATACTCTTGTGCCAACGCTGTTTACAATCCTCGATGCACTTCCGAAATGTGATTAACTTGATTTCATTAATTGTAGCAAAACGATTTCCTATCATGGGTTTCTTCAGTTTTGGTCGATTGATATACAAACATCCTCTGCAACTTCCCTTATAGTGATTCGACATTTTTCAAGAACCATTTTTTCACTGTTTTGATGTTTTCCTCACTTGTTGGTGTGGTCGCACATCATCATCAACGTCTTCTCGGCCTTTTGTAAAGCGGTTGTACCACTTATAAACACTTTTTTAAGACAAAGTGAACAGTCGAATGCACAGTCAACATTTCAAGTGCCCTGGAGCACTTAATTTGTAACGTAAAATTTAATACATATTCTTTGAACGATTTCTTTCAAAAGTCAAAAATCAAAGAGCACTCCAAGACTTGACTAACCTTTGTGTTGTCCAAAACAAAATACTAATCGAAATTGGCTCCTAATGCAAGCATAAGATAAACATATTATATGTGTCCGATTATAACGAAATAAAAATAGCGATAATCGAATGTATACAGCCCGTGAAAAAGCAAAATTCACATTTTCCTTTGAACACCCCTTATACATCGTTTATAGGTATATCTTAGTTTGGAACTTAGTTATAGCACATTATATGATTTTGCTTAATGGCGTTTTGGAGATATGACAATGGTCCGATTACGCAATTTTTACTCAACTAACAGCACAGACAGTCACCAAGATCTTAGCTCGTCTTGTCATCCTGATCATTTTTATATCTATAACTTCATATTTACCTCGATTAGTTCTAAGTGATACAAGCAACCGTTAGGTGAACAAAACTGTTATACTGTGTAGCAAGATCCGTCCGTTCGTCCGTTTGCCTGTGCAAGCTGTAACTTAAGCAAAGATTAAGACTTTTCAATGGACCCCACAAAACCCAACCCGAATTTAGCCCCTTCTTACGGAGGACCTACCTGTTACAATTAAGAGCTCATACATGAAGAGACTATTTCAGAGGTGTCTAAGAACCAATTTTTCAAAGTACCAAGCCAAAATAATAATAGATGTTTGACCCACCCTAATATACATACATTGAAATATTTAAAACCGTTCTAGTTCTATGAAATTTTATTTTAGCAAAAGCTTTGGCTCGTACTGGTACATTGTTAATGGTAGAACAACTGCAGGTAAGAACGAAATTTTTATACATGTAAATAAGATTTGTGGTTACAGTAGTGTTCAATAAAATAGACGTGCATAGTTATTAAAATTAAATATTTATATACTATTTTGTGATATGAGCATTGAAATTAAAAATAAATAAAAAAATCGATTTAAATCGATCGGAAAAAATTAAATTTTGACACATATTTTATCTATATTTACTTATATAGACGGTCCCCTTTAAGTCACATAGATGCGATATTCTCTTCCTATGCTACCTCAATCTGCTTTTGGATGTACTAGCTATACAGATCATTATAAGATTTAATAATGATTCCGCTCAAACAAAGTTTACAGCTGAACTCAGGCTTAGTATGTACATATATAAATCTTTTCGTTACGCTCAATATATTTTGATGGCGTTTATACTTACCATTGTAATTTGGAAATCTGAAAAGAAATAAGGCTCTTTACTACTCATGATTTAAAGGGTGTAAAAAACGATGTTTATAATATGGTCACCTCTTTGAACTAGAAAGATTTCTAGCTCTCGTTTAACATTACATACCACTAAAATATCTCAAAATATTATATATATGTATGGAGTATGGGAATCGCGAAACAGCGGTAACATATATACGGAACCAAGAATATTGATATTGTATTAACTTTTAAGAAATTTTGTTAAGGCTGAGGGCGAGGGAGCGCCTCAAGCTCGTTAAACATCTAAAGTATCCTTTTCAGCGACCTTTTTGAATTAGCAAATGAACATATAACATTTATATATATTTACAAAGAAATACCATATATTTGTACATGCGAACCCACAAACTCATATATATTATATGTGTGTATATACATCAATAACAGAACGATTGTAATACTCAGACAGCAAACATACTCACACACGAATGCTCACAACTTACTTACGCTAAGTAAACCCACGCGCGCAAAAACGTAGCATTTACTCAGGCGCTTTAGCCGGTACTATATTTCAACCTATTTTAAATGGCTCAAGTGCACTCTGTTGTTGTTGTTAATATTTTTTATATGCTTTGCATTCTAGCGATAACTCTTGCTACTTTTTGTTGTTGTTTATTGAATAGTTTACTTTCTTTATTTACAGGTTTCTTTGCCGTATACACAAATCCCCCGCACCTCTTCCTACGTCGGTAGAAGTATATTTTGGAATAATTATCAATGATCTTGCCAATTTATAGCTTGGCTTACTCTAAGCTCATGTTGTTGTTATGGTAATATCAGTATTGTTAGTTTTAATGGCTTAGGTTGTGCTGCTTCGGAGCTACCGAACTAATCCTACCACCACCAGCACTTTTTAAGTATAACCTTTTTCCATAACCTTTTTTTAAGATCTCTAAGCCGAATTCTGCCCTTTTTTATTCTCATCTTAATTAGGTTGGAAACTCACCTACCTACATGTTAAAGTTGTTGTAAGGATTAGGTTGAAAAAATATATTTGCGCAACAATAATTGTCAAAGATATCTGAGTGAAGACCAATTGCACTTGCTTTTTGTCTTTTCAGCTTTTGTAAGACTAAAGCCGATATAATATCGAAACTTAGTTTCCGAAAACGAATTAGACCGCCTTAATGGATTTGTGAGAAGTTCAAATTAACTATCTTTAACAGTTTCTGGTGTCACAAGTACCAGTCTTTAACCGCTTAAATGTGATCCTCTTGATCTTCGACTTGTGCACATTAAATTGCAATTTAATCTAGATGAAAATCTGTTCCATACCTGCATGTAGGGTAATCACAATTTTAATGAACTCTTTTGCTATATACTTATATAGTTATGTATATAAATCAAAATCCAAATAACAATAATAGTTATTTAGTAATTGATATCCATAAGAAACAGAACCACCCTAGTAAATTTACATACACACGAACACTTTTATAAGCACGTATTGGTTTGCTGCCATTTTTTTTTGTTTTTGTTTAAAACTTTCATCAGTTTTCCGTGTGTATAACTAAAACGGATTTTACAACTTTGCACATAATCATAACCTTAATGAGGGTTTCCTTATGTATTTTAATGTTGGAGACCAAAATTTAAGTAAATTTGGAATAATTTATCCAAATGGCGGCGTGCATAAACTCAAACATCAACAAAGGTATGTGTTTATTTAATGTTACTTAAATACGCATTTAAGCTTTTGTGCAATTTGATGAAAACATTAACCCAGAATGACTGCAGTGAAAACACCGTGTTTCTGTAAAATGCTGCCGGTTCGGGGAAAAACTTTAAGATCGGAGCCGGTTTTCTGACGTTTTATATTTCATTAATACTGTGAAAATTTGTAACTGTTAAATGCAGGTTTCTTTTTGACAATGGTGTTCAATAATTCCCAGTTTTCCACAAAGATGCGCACTTCTGACAGTGTCAAGGGACATTTACCGTAATTAGCCAGTTCCGAAACATGTAAAAATGTATAATATTAAGAGGTTAATAGGAATAAGATATTTATATTTTGTATTTTAATTTTTGGAACAGTTCATAATTTATTTAATGATCTTTTTTTTTTGTGTAGAATATTACTGAGCTGATATCCTGCCTTGGTATATAAGTCTCGCTTCTATCCGATTATCACGAATATCGGTAAATCACATCTGACCTGTAAATGTCAATTCAAAATCATTGCTCTTTCATTGTACTTGCAAGGCCGCAGATCGATGTATACCTTTTTTCATCTGCTATGATAAAAATTTACAGCTAATGTTTTTTTTTCTTTGGAATACTCGTCACTGCCCATAGTTTCACAAAGTTTTCCCACAAATCCTTTAACCATTGAACTAAATACCCGTGGATTAGTAAAATCTGATTTTTGTCTCTCCCATCGAGTCAAGTCTCTTCACTTTGCCAATTAACATTACATACACTTAACATCAGTTCACAGAAGACATCTACGATTCGCCACTTCTTTGCTCGCGTTTAAGCTCTACTTAATTGTCAAAAAAAAATTTTCATGTAAACTTAGTTTTCCGATTAAATTTTATACAAGGGTGTATATGAGGATTCCTTAAAATGATGGGGCTGATATTATATTTATATTCGAATGTTGATTGTTCGATTTGCTAATCTACGAATTTGTGAATAAACCACTACTAAAATGACTTGCAGTTACAGTTTTTTTTAGGATTATTAAACCTTGCATAAAGTCAATATCTTTTCTTGAGGGTCAACGCGACCATATTCAAGGATGGTCCGATAACGGCTTGGTTGTATTGTATTACCCGATAACGAAACTATCACGCAGAAATGTTCGAATCTTGTTTTTAAAAGTGAAATTACATAATGAAAATAAAGAAAGATTAGATGCTGTATACCATGACTTTTCTACAGAAATGCAGCAAGAGTCAAAACAATAGACGTCTCCAGCGAATCTGCTCCGAAGAAGCCGAAGACTGTTCCATCGGCCGGAAAAGTGGTCACCCACCACCATTTTATGTAGTTTACAAAGTGTATCCTAT